TATATATATATATATTAAAAAAATTAAAAAAAAACTCACACACAGACACATTGTCAATGAACCTATAGAGCACTTAAAAATTTAGAAAGATCTTGCCATATTTCCCTTCCTTGAAAGACACACTCAATCCTATCAACCAAATGTGTTATTCTGAAAGCCCCTGATAAGGATAACATGATAAATTCATGAAATCTGAAGATATAAGTTTCAAGTGACTATTGACTTAGGCTTTGAGACAAATAGATAGACCCATTTTCACTCCCCAAAATAATAATAATAGGTTAAAGACACTTATTTTCAATTTGGTTCCAATACAGAAAAGTTTTTGACTTGTGTATAATCATCTCCAACGTCATTTTCACCATATGTTGCCACTTGCCAATATAACAACATGATAATGGAGTTATTGAGAAGTATAGGAACGGTCACAGGACTAAAAATTATAGTATTTCTGGTCCTTATCGGATATGACATCATTTTTAATCTATGGGGAGTTTGAAAGGACTTATGACCTTTCTAATAAGTATAAACTTCTTTTCAGCTTATTTGACTTAAGAAAGTGGCTTAGGACCTTTCTATAAAGTATAAACTTCTTTTCAGCTTATTTCAATAAACTCCATGATGAAGTTTATCAAAATCAGTTGTTTTAAAATCAAGTACAGTGTGCTTTACAACAAAGGTTAAGATATAAGCTTATAACACGAGTGCTTAATTATGCTGCTTACCAAACACAATTGGTCCCTACACTTCATGGAGCACTATATTATAATGACAATAGCCAGTGGGGATTAAATTAAAATTTAAAAATGAGAGAACATATAGGAACAAATTAAGGGCTTCTTGGGTGCTTGATTTTCCCCCATTAACAGCTTAAGGTAGGATTCCCCGAGAGTTTGGGTGCTTATTTATTGGTATCGCAACTGGTTGTTGATGTCTAGGAATGGCTACCTCTGGAGGGGCTGACAAGAAAGGTTGAGTGAAACGTCATCAAATGTCTTCCGTCAGGATGTCGGCTCTCAAGGGCGGTGGTGCTATGATGGGGACTTGGGTTCTCATATTTTAGTTTTAAAAACTGTTTTATAAAACAATTCCACACTACTCAACAATCAATTTCTCATCTAAAGTCAATTAAGTCTTGAAAAAAGTTCCCAGAAAAAGTGCTTTAAAAGCCACAAAAACAGAAACAAACTTTCAATTTTTATCTTGTTCAACCTCCCCTCCTCAATTCCACACTCTGCTTTATGTCTTGCATCACCCTACACCCACTTTCTAAGCAACCTTATTTAATTGCATTCTGAAAACTAAAAACAGTTTTTAAAAATAGAAAACGAACACACCCTAAGCATTTTCATTCTTATTTTGATTTTCTTAAGGAATGAATTGAAAATGAATGTCACGTAAATATTAAAAATATATTTCAACCTAAAAAAATAAAAAATAAATAAAAGAACACATAGATTAGACGCACAAGAAAGAGATAAACCAAAAGGGACACGGAAAACTCACAAGGACGGGGCAATTCTAGCGAAAAAGAGAGTGCTACAATTCCCAATTCCAAACAAGCTAGCGTTATTGTTAGGAGGAGCAGCAACTGAAGGAACCGGGGAAGAAACAACCTCAAATTTCGCACTCCCATTTCTCAGTTGCTGAAGAACATCCTCTGAAAGTCACCGAAACAAATCGAATAAGAGTGTTCGTAAATTTGCGAGTGCTCTTTGTTTGGTGAAAAAGTGACAAGTAATGAAGATAAAATTATACGAAGAGTAAGAAGAAGAATGTGAATGCAATTAAGAGTTGTTAGGTTACCATTGAATTTGAGAAGCTGGTGTGCCATGAAACGTGGGAAATTGTGACGCGGGAGGAGATGAGTGTAAGAGAGTTGAAGAGTGTTTTTCTCTCATCCAAACACAGGAACAGCTGAGTAAACGTCGTTATTTATCTTGAATAGCGACACCTTTTTTTCCTTCTAAATTTCACTATTATTTTTAAATTTATAATTTTAGTCTTTAATTTTGTATAATTTATAATTTTATTTTAACAGTTAAATATTTATCATTAATGATTATGATTATGATTGTAATATTAATCATGATGTATATAAGAAAATGAATTTATATATAAAAAAAATAAATGAGAGTATTATTTTAGTTTTTATTGTAAATTATTATAACAAATATATGATTCTTTTTAATTTATTAATTGATAATTTTTTATTTATATCTATACTTTATTGTGAGTCTTTTAACGAGTTATTCACTCATTTTCAATGAAAATAGATATATTTGTTGTTTAACTAACATGATGCATATTAGTTAAAAAAAAAGTTATTTATGAGGAGTATCATTAAATATAATTATTACTAACATAATTTAATTTTATAACTATCTTTGAAATAAAATTTTGAATTATGATATTATTAATTATAATTAATTAATCTAATTATTTTTATTGATCTTGATAAATTGTGTATTTATTACTTTTGTATAAGAATGAAAGTAATATACTTAATAATATTTAGATTATATTACACTTTTTTGTATACATATTTAGGTAATATATTTAATAATATTTAAGTTATTTTATTTTAACTTTAAATTGGATGGTAACCTTTATACTATTGTAAGGATAAACTATTAATATACTTTTAGAAATGTTACATTCTTCGAAATGATGAGTTTAAATTATTCTTCATCCTTATAAAATTGAAGTGTGTATTTAGATTTGCGTATTGATCCAAGTTTTCAAATAAAATCACGTTAATTTGATGGATAAGCAAGTAATAATTACTTCTTGTTTTCACGTCTTTTACGCGATTCAAGTGCTCTGAACGCGAAACCAAACACGCAGAAAATATGTCAATGTTTTGAATTAAAATATTCTTTTTAATTAGTATTTCAAAACATGTACCAGGCTTGACTTGAATTGTTCGACTCAAATTTTCGAACATTAAAGCATTTTTCATATGTTTCTTATCCATTGTCTTAGTCTATAATGTTTTAACACTTTTTATGGCATTGACTCAAATTTTCGAACATTAAAGCATTTTTCATATGTTTCTTATCCATTGTCTTAGTCTATAATGTTTTAACACTTTTTATGGCATTGACTCAAATTTTCGAACATTAAAGCATTTTTCATATGTTTCTTATCCATTGTCTTAGCCTATAATGTTTTAACACTTTTTATGGCATTCTCTAAATTCCTAATAGAAAGTGAACCATGAAGATTTGAAAGTCTTCTCAGATATTTTGCTCTCGTGCTCTTCGTGCTTGCACACAATAAAAAGATATAAATATTGTAGATGATTTAATTGTTCTATTCCTCTGTGCTTGTCTTATATAAAAGTATCAACATTAGATAAATTGATTTATTTGCGTTACTTACATCTCTTTGATACAAGTGTTAGAAAGATTGACAAAATCATTATGTAATTTAATCAATCTACATATTTTGAAGTTGTCTAATTGCATTAAGTTGATTATCTTGCCTAGAGGCATGCAAAAAGCATTGAAATATCATAGGTTAGGATGATGGATAAAAAATATATTGAAAGTTTATTCTTGCAATAGTTTAAAAAATACCATAGCACAATCTCTATCATTTTAGATACATGGACTCTTCCAATTTTATCAATAATAGTTTATGGTGGTGTGACAAACATATATTAGCCTAGTATGGAAGCATTACTTAGTGACCAAGGAATTCATCATACACACCAAGCATGAGTCACTTAAGTACATAAGTGGGCAGGAGAAGTTGATCAAAAGACATGTAAAATGGGTTGAATACCTTAAACAATTCCCTTATGTTATCAAATATAAGAAAATGAAGAATAATATAGTGGTCGGTGCTTTATTTAGAAGACATACTTTACTTAATATCCTAAGATCACAAATACTTGGATTTGATAACCTAAAGAAATTGTATGAGCATGGTCATGATTTTCAAACCACTTATGCTTAATGCCTCCAAAAAACCTTTCGATGGATTATATCTCAATGAGGGATATTTTTTTAAAATGGGTAAACTTTGCATCCTTCAAGGATCTATTAGAAAGTTTTTGGTCAAAAAGAGTCACGAGGGAGGTTTCATGGACCACTTTGAAGTTGATAAAACTCTTAAGTTTTCTAAAACATAATTTTTATTGGCCTCACATGAGAGTGGATGTCCAAAGGCATTGTTCAAAATATATAGCTTGTCTTCAAACAAAATCCAAAGTAATGTCTCATGGACTCCACACACCTCTCCCTATAACTAGCCCCCTTGGGTTGACATTAGTATAGATTTTGTGCTTGTTCTCCCAAGGACCCAAAAGGGATTTGATTCTATTCTTGTGGTTGTGGATCATTTTAGCAAAATGGTATATTTTATACTATGTCACAAGGTAGATGATGTTAGCTACATCTCTAAATTGTTTTTCAAAGAAGTTGTTAGATTGCATGGTTTACCTAAAACCATAGTATCAGATATGGATACAAAGTTCCTTAACTACTTTTGGAGGACCACTACTTGTCATCCCCAAACAGATGGACAAATCGAAGTAGTGAATAGGTTCTTATCCAGACTATTAAGGGTACTTTTAAAGTGCAACAAAAAGTCTTGGGATGACTGTCTACCTTATATAAAATTTGCTTATAATAGAGTAGTCCACAAGACTACTAATTTTTTCCCCTCCGAGGTTGTTTATGGTTTTAACCCTCTCACATCTCTTGACTTACTTCTATTCCCAAATACTACTTCCTTATAACATAAAGAATGAGTATTTAGGTTTGAGTTTGTCAAGAAACACCATGAAAAAGTTAAGAATCAAATTGAAAAACAAACTAAAAAAATATGTTAGTTACAACAACAAAGGGAGGAAAAAGATAACTTTTGAGGTAGGGGATTGAGTTTGGCTTCATTTAAGGAAGAATAGATTTCTTACTCAAAAGATGTCAAAACTAAAACCCCATAGGAGATGGTTCATTCAAAGACCTCCAAAAAATTAATGATAATGTATATAGGTTAGATCTCCCCTCTAATTATGGTGTGAACCTTAATTTTAATGTTTGTGATCTTACTTCTTTTGTAGGGGCAACTGACATTGAGGATGAGGATGTTGATATGAGGTCAAATCCTTCGCAAAAAGAAGGGGATGATGGAAGATTATCCTTTAAACTACACGAGAGACCCATCACTAGGTCCATGACTAGATTATTGAAGGATGATAGAGGAGCTACCATGCCTAGAGCCATGCTCATCGTGAGTGTAGAGTATTGATCATCTCTTTAGCCTTGATATTATCAGTATAAGATTTATTGTCTTTTATTTTATTTCATAATTTACCCTTGTATTTTGGGCACCCTAGATGGTAGGATTTATTTTGTTTGTATTTTCATTTTGCCTTTGTATTATGGGGCACTTAGATTAGGATTTATTTTTAGGACTTAAGCCTTGACTTGTGAGGTAAAAGTCCATTTATTTTATTTTTTAGGTCAAAGGGTACTTTAGTCTTTTAAGGGAGGAAGGAGACACACTTGCATTTAAGGTTCATTTGTGATGCATTTGAGTGCATTTGGGCTTGGATTACTCGGCCATGCACTCCAACTGCAACCCTAACTTCTTTCCTTTCCTTTATAAGTATCCTAGGCCTCCCATCTTGTTATTACTTTAGATTATATGATATTGAGTGAGTCTTTGTGCCTTAACGTCCCTTCTTTAGTCACTAGGTCATTTTCGGCCTAACCTTTCTCCTATCTCTTCCTTGAGTGAGTGAACCTTGAGTGACCTTCATCTATCCATGGAGTGAGCTAACCTAGAGAGCTTCCATTCAACACGCCATTCTTCATTGCCTTGGACGTCCACTTTTCTTCTTGGTGGCTAGGAGTTCTTAATGATCAATGATCCTTGAAGTAAGGAAACTTTTCCATTGACTTCACCATCCATCAATGCCTAGATGTTTCATCAATATTACTACTCCTTTCGATCTTTTGAAATATTTGAAAATTTTGACATTAATAAGATTTGAATCTTAATTATTTGAAAAGCTAAAACATTATTGCGACCAGACTACCTCATAACTTCATCAAATGTTTAATTTTATATGTTCAATAAAAAAGTTAATAAATAAATATTAGTTCGTATGGTTCAATCAATAACTTACTAGTTTAATTAATGATCTACCAATCCAATACCTTGATCAAGTTGATGATTAATTTAGTTTTATAATACTATTTGAAACAAATTATATTAAGGAATTTGTAATATTTATTTTCGGTAGCAAATATGTTAAAAAATTAATTATAAACATAAACAAAAATGTTGTTTAAAATATTTAAGGTAATAATATTAATTAGTATTAAAGAAAACATGTAATACACTAATGGAATGAATAACATGTAAATTAATAATAAGAAAAATATCTATTATTATTTATTTAAATTATATTTTTAATTATTTATTTTATTTTTAAGATTTGTTTTTATTCTTTATATTTCAAGAATCAAAGTATATATTTTGATCAATTTTTAAATTTGAGTAAATTGATCATTTTAAAATAAAAATTATTTTTAATTTTGAGACAGTATTTTAAATGATCATTTTAAACTAATTTAAGATTTGGGATTTTTTTCATTAATTTTACTTACATAAAAATTATAAAATCTAAAAATATTCAAATAAAAAAATGTTATAAATTTAGTGGATGTCGTGTAAAAAATAAATCTTACATACAAATAAAAAATAATATCATATATATATATATATATTTAATTTTTATATAGTTTATTATACTTATCTTTATGTAATTTTTATCATGTATATGACTTTTTTTTTAAATTTAAATATTAATTAAGTTCAATAATTTCTTTATGTAAGTAAATATAACTAGATAAGTTTGAGATATTGAATTAGTAAATAAAAGTGAATTTCAATTGTGTCATAAAGTA